GGCCCCGTCACCCCTCACTGGGGCAGAGCAGTGGGGGCACAGCCCTCTCACCCCTCAGTGGGGCAGAGAAGGGCTGAGCCCCCCCCACAGCAGGGCAGAGCATGGGTTTGGTAGGTTCCTCCAGTGCCGGGGCAGGGCACGGTGCCCCCACACTGAAGAAAAGGCCAGAAGGGCCCTCAGTGGGGCTGTAGGAGACCCACAGACATGGGGGGGGGCCCATCACAGCTCCTACTTCGGGGCCTGGCCCTGTGGCCCCACAACTGGCCCGGGCAGCTGGCCCCATCCTGGGCCACCCTGGGCGTGTTGGAGTGTGGAGTCCTCCAGCTGTCCCATCCCCCCGTGTCACCCCCATGCCGGCAGCACCTTCCTTGCTTGGGAGATGCCTGCGGCCCCATTTCACGCTCACATTGAGCCCTCTCCATACGATGTCTATCATGCGATCGCAGTGCACTTGGAGGGTCATGGTTGCACCAATGGTTGGATGTAGAGAGCAAAAGATAAATGAAAGCATAGATAATGGTTTTAATGTACTTAAAGTATTTAATGGATGCCAACATCCTTTTAAAGGCCAGGGTGGTGTTTCTAAAGTGCCTGGTACAGGTCTGCCAGGCTTCTACTGCTTAGTGGGGGTCTGAAAACTCACACCCACACTAAACTGTACCTAGGCAAAACAGAAAACGGCTGTAAAAACCATCCACACATTAGGCTGGCTTAACTCCAATGTAAATTAAACTAATTGTGCTGGTTTTCTTGCTACCTTTGAATTGATCTACTGGAAAACTCAGGGTCTAAAATACAGGCTTCTACTGCTTAGTGGGGTCTGAAAACTCACACCCACACTAAACTGTACCTAGGCAAAACAGAAAACGGCCGTAAAAACCATCCACACATTAGGCTGGCTTAACTCCGATGTAAATTAAACTAATTGTGCTGGTTTTCTTGCTACCTTTGAATTGATCTACTGGAAAACTCAGGGTCTAAAATAGAGATGACACCTTCCCCAAGGAAGGAGCAAGGTGCAAAAAAGGCAGCATGAGTTAACTCCGCGAAAGCAAATGTGGGGGTAAAAATGGCTGGAAAAGGGCTGAACTGCTACTTTCCTTCTGCTTGCTTAATATAAAAAATGAGAGAGCTCCACATTTGTACAAATATAAGGAAAGGCTATTGAGCATCTTCCTCCACCCAGTGAATATTTGTATATATTCAGTATCACGTAAAGATATTTACGTGAAAGGGAACTGCAATGTTTTCTCGCAGTGGTCTGCAGCAGGCTTTACTAGGCTGCAGACTAAGCAGCTCCTTTTAACACATATTTGCTTAAAACTGGCTTAGATTTTTGTAATCCTTCAGCCACCCACGCCAGCTTCAGGAGGGGGAATCCCGAGAAACCCAGAGTAACGACCTTCCTTCTGCCACAGCATCCCACCGGACTGGGTTGTTCGCCCAGGGGGAATTATATATAATTTTATGTATATATACAATATATATATATTCAGTGTATATATTCAGATTATTTCTTGGAAAAATGTAATCATTATCCATACCCTTAAGCCCGACAAACAATATTTAATTCTCCTCTAAGGAGGACGGTGAGTGCTTGAGCATCCTCCAATCACCCTTCCTTGCTCAGCTGTAGTACTGCCACTGTTTGGAGACTGTGCCGTGAGCCTGAGCAGGGACTAGTGGGGTTAAGAATAAATAATGAAAATCACATTTTCCCCCCTCCCTGAAGAACCGGTCTCGTCTCGAGAGCAGGTTGTGGAGCGGTGCCATTTAGTCCCTAAAAATACGCATTTACCTGGTCCCCGGTGCCCTTCCTCCAGGCTGCTCTCAGGAGGTGCTGTCAGCCAGGACCGTAATGGGATGTTGCTGGTAGAGTCTCATAATTAGAAAATTACAGAAAATTAGGTGCTTTTGGCAAAAATATCGGAGCAGGTCAGTTTTAACAACAATATCCCTTCAAACTTTTTTGGTTTGGGTTTTTTTCAGGCTTACCTCTGGAAACCAACTGTCTTTTTCTCTTCCAGAATACACAAGAGCCTCGATTACTTGGAGGGCAGAGCTACAGTCTTTCACTCCCGTTACCTCTCTGTGTTGGCGAGCACTGGCACTGGAGCGAAGCCATCAGTGGCTCTGGGCCACTTCATCCTGCCACCCGCCTGCCTGCAAGAAGGTCGGGGAAAAAAAACCAACCATCCGGGTTTGGCTCCCCTGTGAGCAGAACATTTTGGGGGTGCAAACAAGAACCTCCAGGTTCTTCTGCTCTAGGTGGAGGGAATTCCCTTCTGCTGGGAGCGATTCTTCCTCCCCAGAGGCAGAGGATGCTCCATCTACTATATTCTCCGTCTATTACCACAGAATCATAGAATCACAGAATCACAGAATGGTTTGGGTTGGAAAGGACCTTAAAGATCACCTAGTCCAACCCCCCTGCCATGGGCAGGGACACC